TTTTTTTTTTTTTTTTTTTTTTGAGTTTTGAGTTTTGTGGGTTAAAAGCATGAATTCTGGAATCACTTAACTATCTAATAGGAAGCGAGCCATCTTTCTTTCTTCCCCACTGGGCTGAAATAAGAAAACTGGAGGCAGAACGTGCTAAATGGCAATTTGGTGTCTTACAACTGGACAGGTGGGATGGTTTCATTCCATCTTAATTTTCCAGCCCTCTAAGATTCGGTGCTCATTTTGGTATCCCACTGTTAACTGGCTCAAAAATCACCTCCATCATGTTCATCCTGCAAAATCCTGTGGCGATAAAATAGGTAAATATGAAAGCAAATAATTGTGAATTATCTGCCTCAGACTTGATCACTAGGAAACAGAACCTGTACTGTGGGAGATTTTGATTGATAGTGTACAGAATCTTGATGTTCAGGCCTCTTGGGAGGACGCATTCATGGCTAATAAAGTAGTGAATTTACACATATGTTCAGATGAAGGGAGTTTTCCCTAGCCAATCTGGGAAAGTAGTGGCAGTAAGGATGGATAGCAGAACCACATGCTTACAAATCATTATGAGTTACCAGGCAGAGGGACATCCATCCATCCAGCCAGCCAGCCAACCAACCATCCATCCATTCATACCACTGACAGTTTTTAAGCATCCACAGCATTCAAAGTACTAAAGGAAACTCTGATATCAGCCAGTCCTAGATCCAGTCCTCAAGAACCTTAACAGTCTCCCAGGTGAACTACACCATGTAAACAAAGATAACATGACCTAATGAGTGATAAAAGCTAAGAGAAAGAGTTACCGATTGCTGTGAAAAGACGGAGAGATGCCCCTTGTGGAAGATCTGAAAGAGTAATTTTATTATTCTTTGGTAAATCCTGCCAGTCTTTTGCCAATACAAGCTGTGTTAATGTCAATTTCATTTTGCTTAATTTGCTGCATTTTGATGCTGGGCAAACCTGGTAATATTACAGTAAGCAGAGACTTGCTACTGAGAACTAATTTACTGAGCATTTATTGTATGTCAGGAATTACCCTAAGCCCATGTTTATTTAAAGTTCTAGTATATTATCCGTGTTTCATAGATGGGGAAATTAAGACAAGAGTAAATAAACTCACCTAAAGAACATAGCTTGGTTAATAGTGAGAATTTGAATCTGGGGAGTTGAACTCAGTTGGGGCTGCCTTCCCCTGTATGCATTGTTCTCTGAGATTTCTGTCTGTTTTGGGGCCACTTGTAATCTGTGAGTTGTTAATCCCAGCTGCTTCTGTCAGGAGGTGGGTGCTCAGGCATTACCAGATACGGGCATTCTTTATCATCCTGGGACAACCATGCTAAAACTGACAGTCAGTTGCAGCAGGTTGATGGGGACTCCAAGGAAGTACATTATAGTGGTTATAATGAAAAGGGCAGGTGTACTATGAGGGTCACTGCTTGATCGCATGCGTCATTAAAGCTTAACAGAGTGTTAATGTTTTCACAGGTGTAACACAGAGAGTGAGTGGTACCAAATCCATGAGAACATCATCAAAAAGCTGAATGCACGTTATAACTTGACTGGCTCCAATGCAGGTGAGTGTATGGGCTGTCTGACTTTCCCTACACTTTTCATTCCAAGCCCTTTTTTTTATTTGTCTGTGTGGGAAGGAAATTATCAGCCCTTTGTTTTTCTCTCTGTTCACTTCCTAACTTTAAAAATGCTCAATGAACATTCTGGTACATCTTCCTATGCTATGATAGGCTTGTACTTATAACTCCCTATGAAAAATGTATTCCATTCTTGTTGAAAAGAAAAAGATAATCTAAATTTGCTCTTTGGTACCACGTCTTCATACCTCTAAGTCGTTATTGAAAGCTAAAAATCGGCCTGGCACGGTGGCTCATGCCTGTAATCCCAGCACTTTGGGAGGCCGAGATGAGCAGATCACCTGAGGTCAGGAGTTCAAGACCAGCCTTGCCAACATAGTGAAACCCCGTCTCTACTAAAAATACAAAATATTAGCCGGGCATGGTGGCAGATGCCTGTAATTCCAGCTACTCGGGAGGTAGAGGAAGGAGAATTGCTTGAACCAGGAGGCAGATGTTGCAGTGAGCCGATATCACGCCACTGCACTCCAGCCTGTGTGACAGAGTAAAAAAAAAAAAAAAGAAAGCTAAAAATTGCATGACAAATACGATGCTTGGATTTGTGACTATTCTGTGGAAATAAGTTTGATAAATAGCAATTTTTAGTGAGGTCCAATAAAAACATGCTTTACGACTGGGCGCGGTGGTTCACGCCTATAATCCCAGCACTTTGGGAGACCGAGGCAGGCAGATCATGAGGTCAGGAGATCAAGACCATCCTGGCTAACACAGTGAAACCTCGTCTCTACTAAAAAAAATACAAAAAATTAGCCGGGCATGGTGGTAGGCGCTTGTAGTCCCAGCTACTCGGGAGGCTGAGGCAGGAGAATGGCATGAACCCTGAAGGCGGAGCTTGCAGTGAGCCAAGGTTGCGCCACTGAATTCCAGCCCGGATGACAGAGCAAGACACCGTCTCAAAAAAAAAGCAAAAAACAAACAACACCACCAAAAAAAAAAAATGTGCTTTGGTGCCTATGGCTGGCTTTGAGCTTTGACATTATTGACAAACATACAGGTTCACACATTGAAGTTGACTAAAAAGGAAAGTGATGCTGACTGCAGTGGCATGTGAAGAAAAATGTGTGTGTGCTTGTTCAGAGAGGAACTGAAATATTATATACCACTATAAGTCATATGAGGTACACAGTATTGTACTAGTAACATATAGTATATACTATATTATATAGCATATATAGATTGCATAGCATATATAATGACATCTTTAGGTTTGGTCAGTGACAAAAACTTGGTGAATATTGTTTGTTCTTATCCACCGTTCAGACCCACATTGAAGCAAAACAAAGTATGCAGTCATGTGCTTTGATTGACATAAAGAAACTTCAAATTAAATAAGCTGTTTCTTGAACTGAATGCGTTGTTTTTTAAGACTGATTTTTAAAAGCACCTTGAATATAGATATTTTTGTTGCAGTCCAAATCACCTGGCAATTAGGAGAACTGGAATTTAAATTCAAACCACTTTTTTTTTTTCAGACTCTTGCACATCTTGCTAGACCAAACTGACCCACAAAGAGAAAATCACTGTAGACAGAGCTTTGTCGTTCAGTTCAGTGAGAGCCATAAGTACCTCCAACTCATACATGTGGCAATGCTTCAGACTGTAATAAGTGGTGAGGTCAGTTTTCTCCTCCTTCTCCCAAGAGTTGGAGAGATAACTTGAGTTTTATTTGATGCAGATGGCCCTTTGCTTTGGACAAAGTCCTGCATCTACCACTAAACAAACAAGACACTTGGAGTACGTAATATTGAGGGCAGAGTCTCTAAAAGACTCACAGGAGACAGGAGAAATGAAGTACAACATGGAACTACTATGTATGCTTGTCTTCTCTTTTCCCACAAAACAATTATAATTCTCGGCCGGGTGCAGTGGCTCATGTCTATAATCACAGCACTTTGGGAGGCCAAGGCGGGTGGATTGCAAGGTCAGGAGATTGAGATGATCCTGGCCAGCATGGTGAAACCCCCGTCTCTACTAAAAATACAGAAAATTAGCTTGGTGTGGTGGCGCGTGCCTGTAATCCCAGCTACTCCGGAGACTGAGGCAGGAGAATCACTTGAACCAGGGAGTCGGAGGTTGCAGTGAGCCAAGATTGCACCACTGTACTCCAGCCTGGCGACACAGAGAGACACCATCTAAAATAAATATATATATGTGTGTGTATATATATACTTCTCCTGATTGTCTATGGATAAAATGGTTTAATTTCAATACCCCCTCAGTAAGATGGTAGAGCTGCTGTTTTTTAGAGAACATATCTTGTGGAATTCATTGGTAGACTTTCAGCCAAATGCAGTTCTACTCTAAAGCTTTTGGTGTTTCTTGATACCAGTAACCATCATTTTGTCATTAAATTTACCCTAGACCTGTGCTGTCTAATTCAGGAGGCAGCAGCCATATGTTGCTATTGACAGTTAGATATGAACCTAGTATACCACTAGAATTGAGATATGCTGTAATTGTAAAGAACATACCAGATTTTGAAGACTTGGCCCAATAAGAAGAATGTAAAATATCCCGTCAATAATTTTCATATTGATTGCATGTTGAAATGATAACATTTTGGATATATTGAGATAAATAAAATATGCTATTAATTTTTTTCTTTTTTTCTTTTTTGACATAGTTACTAGGGAAAGTTAAATTTCATTCATGATTCACATTATACTTCTGAGTCAGTGCTACTCCAGACTCTGTTTAAAGGCTAGCATTTTTTTAATTTCTATGGATCACAAACAAATCCATTATGCCCTGCTCCTTTCTTTCTGCCTATTAACTGTGAATAGAAGAGTTGGTATCCGTTGTGTATCTTGTTCTTTCTCCCTATGAGTCCTGTTAATTTACTTGCATTTGCCCTCTATATGAATAAACAAATCCCAAACTAATCCTGACCTTCTGACTTGTAGTCCCTGAGCTTCCTACCATCATAGCTGTGGTCTTGACCCACCACGATATGTTGAACTGTTGGCTACATGTCTTTCCCAACTCCTTTTCATCTCCCAGCCCTTTCCCACTTCACATATGCCTCATGCAGAACAACATTCATCTGTTATTAGGTTGTTTGAATATATCATTGTCCAAACCCTGAGGTGATACCCAATTGCCTCTTGAATCTTGGTGAAGTTCTCAATGATAGGCTTTGATTTATATCTCTAGATAGACCCTAACATAAGTGATCCTGTATCCTTAAGACCTGTGTTAGAGGTCAGGATTCCAGTTAAACCAAACCACAAATTTCCTTCTGCTTACAGACAGGAGTCATCTGTTAGAGAGTATAGTGTAGTATTGAGCTGTTTCTCTGCAAGCAGGATATCCTAGATTTGAATCCTCTAAGGGATATCGGGAAGATTAAAAGAAAAAAATGTATGCAAAGCACTTACCATAGGACTTCATACATGGTAACGTGTTTAGTGTTAGCTATTATTGTTTACCCACTTTAAAGCCACTATCTGAAATATTCTATCCTTACCTTTTAAGTTGTCTGTTTTCATTGTTTCAAAATGGATCCTGATTTAATCTCCTTAATGAAGACTTTTAGAATAACACAATTGGATTATTGATATGTTGGATCATTGAACCAACCCCTTCTACACTTTGTTTCCTTCATCTCCTCTCTGCTGATTTGATTGCTAATATCTCTTCCTGGTTTCTTTTAACTTAATTGTTGGCCTTCTGATTAACTTCAGGAAGGAAGGGAAGCACATTCTGTTTCCTTGGCCAGTTCCTCCGATGCTTAGATGTGTCCACATGTTCCATGTGCTTTGTCAACTTTACTAGCTCCTTATTCTTACTGGAATCCTGAGTGAAACCCTACCAGAAAGTGAGATCCAAACCACCCTTTCCCATGAGTCATACCTTTTCTATTTACAGCCTTTGTACTGAAATGAAAAGCTACGTGTTGTAGCCTTTGCAAAGAATGAAAGAAACCATTGTACCATAAAGCCTTGTAAAAAGGGTTCCCCTTCCTTTGGCAAGATCCATTACCATTTTGCAGCCTACCGTGATGCTCAGATTCCTGGGCAACCATATGTATGCTCTTTATACCTGGCTTCTGCTACAAAGCCCTGTCTGCTCTTCTGTCCTTGTGACCTCAGCCCTTCTCTGCCCTTCTCTCTTAACCTTGAGGCCCAGCCAGGCCCACACAGCCTGCATCTATCTGCCTTCTATTTCTCTGGTCTCTCTCTCTGATCCTTTCTAGCCTCTGTCAAGCTGAGGCAAACCCAGCCCTAAGCCTCTTCACTCTAAAATTCTGCTCTAGAGAGTGGAAGCTCAGGAAGAAGCCTAAAAACTATTTTAAAGAAAAGCAAAACTTATACTCCTTCCCACCAAAGCTTCCACTCTTCAGTCTAGGTAGATCATTGTTCTGTATCCCCTTGATCTATACCCTTGGTTGAGGAATGGAAGTTCTGTGGCCAGCAGATAGGGATTCCAGAGCTGTTCAGCTTCATTATTGAACGGGAGGCACATTAATGGCTTACTTCAAGATAGTGGGAGAAGCAAGAGCACAAGAAATTGAAGAGGGAAATTAGGGTGCCTAATGTTTAAGCTGTCACAGCAGTTAGATAATGTTGACTTCCGCTGTTTTCTTTCTGGGCCACAGAATTGTGGATTAAACGGAAGCCGTGCACTCAAATGTTTTCAAAAGAATTGAGTTCACTCTAAAAAGTACTGTTTTTCCCCACTTTCTCCTGCTATTCCTCAGTCATTGGCACTAAAAAAAAAAGAGAAAAAAACACAGCTTTGAAATTGGTTTTGAAAACAAATTCTGCCAGCTAATTTCCAGGCCCTTTATGCTTCATTGATGTCCTCCTAGCTATTGGAGTTGTAATCTTGTCTGGTTAATAAAGGGATTCATCTAGTTAACTGGGTTTTTTTCCCCTCTAACCTAAGACTTATGTTGCAAAGGTACATTAACCACTATCTTAGTT